TTTATGTCAATAAGAGCATCATGTTGGCATATATATTTTTAGTGTGTACAGTTTATAAAGCTTAATGCCAAATCAGCTACAGTATATCAAACACAGAATATATTAAGACTAAAGCATCTTCAATCAGCACCACAAACAAGCTCATCGTCTTGTAGAGAGATTATAATGAGCCTCTGAAGATGAACAATTTCACAGTGTTTTCACAATTAATTGCAGTGTAATGAAGATCCTTCGTTTCTGAGGGAATTGAGCAGTTTGAATCCACATCTGAGTTTGGCAGAGTCTCTCCACAGATACGACTATGAGTGGCAGTGAATTTCAACGCATCCTGTTGAAAACCACAGAGAGATCAAACCTGCGTAGCATGTATGCATGTACGGGTGTGTGTACATCCATGCAGCTGTGGTGGGCAACGTCTGGGAGCAGGAGACTGAGGATTTAATCGCTGTCAGGTCCAGAATTAACAAGCTAAACAAATAACAGCTTGTAGCGAGTCCCCAGCACACAGTCGTTTTTCCTCACAGATAACGTTTCGAATGAAGGAACGTGTCCATCCTGAGCTGAGCCGTCCTCTGTAAGGCTTACTGCTCATCTCAGCTATGAATCAAGCTATGCATGTAATCTTTAGCACGTGGTTTAGAATTGAGAAAGAGAGAAGATGATGTAAGATGAGAGATAGGACACAGAAAGAGACAAATGGGGTTTATCTGGTGAGGGCAAAGCAGTCCATACTGGGATTACAGCAGGGATGAGTAAGTAATACAGTTGGGGAATCGAGACACAGAAAAGAAACAAGAAATAGACCGGTAAAAGGTAAAGATGCGGGGGAGGAGAGAGATGGAGAAAGAAATTGGGTATAGGGTTTAGCCCAAAATCCCATTGAACAGCAACTACATTGAAGTATGTCTCACAAATCTCAAGTACATCATAACACATTGACACTTGATTGTGAATTTCGAGTCAGATATGACTGAAACCAATGACTTGTAATTCAGGGAATGAGTCAGATGTTAATTCAGTAAACACTTTGAATGATTCAGTCAGCAAGTGAGCAGTTTTAGACCAATGGCTTCATCGGTTATGAGGCATTTAGCCCAATTCATTAAACAGAACCAGACCAGAGAAGTAATTTGTTTACGAATTGGATTACACTGGTTTACAGCCGTTGTGTTGCAACAGAAGCATCTGAATTTTATGTACTGAGAAATAGGCGAGTATTTTAGAATTTAGTGTGGTATTCTATCCACACTGGTGAAGGATTAGAGATATTCAAGAACCATTAATGTAAACAAATGTCATAAAAATAATATGGTTCTGTTACTTATCTATTTACCTATTTACCTATCTATAGTATTTATACATTTTATAACAAACCACATATTTCTGAATAAACAGACGTTTATACTGAGTCCGGGTTATTACTAGCAAGTTCAAATTTATTTATTTATTTATTTATTTAAATTAGGGTCGGGACTCAGGGAACTCTTATTAAAAAAAGGTTCAATTAAACAATCACATCATTTCATACTTCACATTTTACATATTACAAATGCAAATTTATTTCCAATGAACTAGGGCTGAAACTAACAATTATTTTGATAAATGATTAACCTGTCTCGATTAATTGGATGAAAAAAAATCCCATCTTTATTTTATTTTGTATTTTATTAAAGAAAGTTATTATTGTGCTCCCATTCTATTGCGCTCCATCTGTTTGTTCAATTCAATTCAGTTCAGTACAGGACACTTTATTGTCACTGCAGGGAAATTGGTCTTGGACTCATGGTGCTCACATACACACTGTCTGGTCATTTTTGTAGAAACACAATGGCTAGAACACAACGACTTTATTACATCCATCAGTACACAGACAATAGACAAGAATATACTCAGAAATAAAATACAAACCTAAAACATAAAATCTATTAGACAATACAACCTCGTAAAAAAAAAAAAATCCTAAAAAAACTATTACACTCACTTCTTCAGCATTATGCAAAATGGAATACAGGAATAAAGATGAAAACATTAAAAAGTAAGTGGGGAATGCGCTGAGGAAACACGTCTATAACACATTAAACAGAGACCTGCATCAAACGTTATGTTTATTCATTTGTTTAAAGCTCTTAATATAAATGCAATCGGCTTGGTTTTGCATTTTCTTTCTGCAGAAGCTTGCACTGTGACATCTGCTGTTTCAGATGCGTTTCATAGAAAGTTTTCAAAAGTGTTACTCACTACCGTAAAGTGACATGGTGGTGGATGTTTTCCATAATCGCTTTGTTGTTAATTATTTTCATTATCAATTGTTATCAATTTTATCATTATCATTGTTTCAGCCCCACAATGAACTATATGATGGTCTTAGTGCCACTTAACTAAAACCATGGTATAGTCTACATCTACAATGATCTAATGAATAATGAAGGTCTTACCCCATTAGAAGGATATGAGGTCCAACCCAGCTCTGCCTGGGATTCCTTAGAATTCAGCAAGACAACTGTAGGAAAAAAACAAAATCAAGAGAGAAACAATATAAGAACTGATAAGGTATCAGAATCACTAAATTGCAATTATATGTTGTGCATTTTCCTTCTCACTGTCAGAGCATATAGAACTGATAGTGTTCAATAATAATGAACACACACTCCCAGAGGACGGGCTGTTGATCTGGAGGGTGACTGCATCAGAGGAGCATTAGAGCTCAAATGGGGACTGACAGACCTGCAGAGCTGCACTTAGTGAAATGAAGTGCACCGGTCATCAGCTGATAATGCTGGTCAGCTTTGCAAAGCACAGGAATCTTGACAAATTTCAGCCAGAAAATATGGTCTGTGGTACAATGTGCTGGTTTAACATTTAAACATTAATTTTCTAAAGAGAAAATAAATGTTTTACGACACCACCATGATGCAATAGAGCCCAAGAGGCCTGTGAAGCAAATTCATGTTGGCATTTGTCATTTCTGCTGCATTTCTACAATGACAAAGCCCTAATGTGAAACTCTGCTTATAAACTACATTAAAATGAGCAGTGAACCCTTGAATGTTATTCAGCAATTCGGACAAGTACAAGACTGTGTAAACTAACTTGGCCAAGCTGAAACACTTTTAAAAAGATGCCCTTGACACAAATAGAGCCTGGGCTCTAAATCAGCACCTTGGAGAAGGCTTGTTGGGATGAAGCCTATAATTCAGAACCACAGACAACACCCAGTACTCAGAAACACAGTATAAGCACCCTGGACAGCGACATGACTGTAGGGCCAATTCAGCACCATGGATAGCACCACTGCCTTTCATTCCTAAAACACTCTGCCTAAATCTGTACAAAACAAGAAGATTTATAAGGGCAAACATGTCTTTTTTGATGCTAAAGTATCCTTTCCAGAGTAATGTGCAAAGACAAATACATTTACAAAGAGTATAAACACTATAGCTCTGTTATGCTGTGGTTTGTTTGAGCAGTCCAACATGTCAACTTATAGCTCAACCAATGGTGTGAGTTTGGGGCGGGACTAACTATTTGTATTTAGAAGTAATCATTATTTTTTGCAATTATGGAGGAGCAGGGTTGCACTGCAGAAGTTGCACATGTTCTCTAAAGTTTCAACCATACATATACAATATTCTGTGAACAATTCAAGTGAACTACACACCATTCAAAAGTTTGGGGTCTGCAATTTTTTACGTTTTTCAAAAGTTTTTTTCAAGAAGAAGTCTCACCAATGCTACATTTACTTGATCAAAAATACAGTAAAACAGTAATATTGTGAAATATTATTCCAAATTAAAAAATTAGTTTTCTATTCTTACATTCTATTCTTATTTAATATATTAGATATTATTACTTACATTTATTAATAATTATTCATATTAAATATAAAAATGATCGAAAAACAGTAATACTGTAATATTGCTCTGCAAAATTATGAAAGATATGTGGGTGCATTAAATAGGCAAACATATATTTATATATTATATAGTATATTATACAGCATATAAGTTTGACTCCAAACTTTTGAATGGAAGTATATGTTTGCCTAGTTAGTGTTTTAAAGTGCCCACATTCTGCCACATACAGTACCTGCCCTCATTTTGCCAAACATGGTGGGTTACCAGAAGCTGAATTTTTCATTAATATTTATTGCTACCAAAATGCTTGTTTCTCTTTGCTCAGCTCTCTGCTGTCAAACACAGAGCCACGTGAGACCAGCAAAATGCCACCACTACGCCACTGACACGGACTCTGTATTAACACATGCACACGGCTCTGACATCACAACTCTAGTCTGAATGCTACTTCACAACAAGCCAGATGAGCTGCAGAAAGCTCCTTCAGAGGAGCTGTGCACTTCTGCCACGAGAGCACTTGTATCTTACAGCATGACTCAGAGCATTTTTTAGCCTTGTAAATTTGCGGTTACTGCCAAGTATTATGAGGGGGGGAAAAATATAGAAAATGTACTGAGGGGTGAGTATTTTACGTTCCCAAGGTTTTCTGTGGTAAACATAGACAAATTTCACAGTGTTCTAACTTTGCTTCAGTTGGTTTGAGTGGGGGTTTTTTTCGCCCTCAGAACAGCTGTTGCTTGGTCTCTCCACTTTTAGGGGACAAGATGCTATATGATTTCTGCTGACACGGGCCCCCTACTGATCTGACCTTCAAGACACACAGAAAAGTAGAAAGAGATGCTGTGCCAGACTAAGTTATACTACACAATGCAGTCAGAAAGACACAGTGAGGTCAGACTAAGAGACAGAAAAACAGCAAAAAAATGTGAAAACAAGTAGTAGAAGAAATCGTTCACCCAAAAATGAAAAATCATTTACTTGCCTCATGTCATTCCAAAACCATTTGTCTTTCTTTTTTTCTGGAACACAAATGGGTAGATTTAAAAATGTGCTCTTAATAAAGTCTGTTTTCTAAATGCATGTGATTGATCTTATTGTGAACGATTTATCCATGCATATGTTCTAATTAAAAAAATAAATTAAAAAAAAGAGCTAGTAACTTTTTTAATCAAAATGTCATAACTCGATCTTCCGGTGAAGATTCTGATGTATGCCAGACTTCTCTTATAATTTTGTATGCTGCCCTTTTCTTACAATTGAGCTCACATTCAAATCTGCCTCCATCCAACCGACTGATCCGAGTCCCCTTCCTACACAGCCCTCTACGAACACCTTGGCAATTGAATCGCCATTGGCTAGTAAATTTTTTAGTTTACCAGACAGACAGACAGACAGACAGACAAAAATTTAAGGGGGTCTGAATACTTTCCGTACCCACTGTATATTTGTAAAATGGCACAGTTTTATAAATACCTGAAACTACACTCTTAACATCAGTCAGTCAAACATTATAATATGATAATCAATATTATTTAATGATAGAACTTTAGTAATTAGAATTAAAACTTGATAACCATGTATGAATGCATATTAGTCATTTTAACTGAACTTCGGACTGGTGGTGGTGCTTTTTAGGTCAGTCAGTGTTTCTGTAAAAAAAATAAAAAATTGGGGAAAAACTAACAAAAATACTGATAAGATAATAATGATACGAATTCTACTAATAAGAACAATATAAAACGCACCAAGGATTAATGAGCTACTGGATTCATGAATATTAATCAGGTTGTGTGCGTTCGCTCGAACCGATTTGCTGAAATCAAAACAGGGACGATAATAGGTGAGCGCCAGCCAATGAGATTGCCGTTTGCGCATTAGTTCCGCCCACTACCGGAGAAAGCGGTAGTTCTTAAAAGCTCTTAAAAGTTCTCAAAAGCAGCATAAAAGTGTCATAAAACAGGTCTTAAAACTCAAGCGCTATATTCCAAATCATTTGAAGCCATGCATTAGATTTGGGTTTTTTCACCCAAAAAGTCAAGTCATTGTTCACTAGACATCCTGTTTGACAGTCATAGCCCCCAACTCACTATACAAAAAAGAGCAGCTTGGACATTCTGCTGAACATTTCATTTTATGATCTACAGAAGAAAGTCACTCAAACAGGTTTGGAACGACACGAAGGGGAGTAAATGACCAATTTTTTATTTTAACATGAACTATTCCATTGAATCGAGCAGAAATTATTCGGAACGTCATTCCAGGGCTTTTGATTCCAAAAATACACACATTCTGTCTCTATTTAGCGAATGTACTCACCCCAAATAACCTTCAATACATTAAGCACTATTCTTCCATCTAGACATTAGCAGAACCTGGGAGCAGAATTATTCCCTCATCCCCAAAAACCCAAATTAACCTCTGAAGAGAGGTCACAAACAAAGAGAACGTCAGAAAGATGACTGGCTGAAGGATGTGCTTATGTCACAGGGGCACTAATCTCCCTGTCAAACCCAACACACTTATGTAAATCCCAGTGAAAGAATTATAATATGAGAAACATAACATTCAATAGAGGGGATTAGCCACATGTTGTTAAACTCGCTTCCATGCAGCTTATCTGCGTATATACACATGAAGCACACACAGGCTCAGAATGCACCAATCAGAGTCCAAAGACCTGTGGGACACTCATCGACCAAACATTATCCCTCTAATAAGCACACACACACAAACTTAAATGGACTCTCTATGTGCATGCATGCGCTAGTGGCCGTTAAAGCCAACCAAATGGCAAAGCACATTAAGTTGAAGCCCCACACAGACCTTTATGACCTCATTAAACTTTCAGCTCTGCCATTGGGGTCTAAAGAGCGCTTGTTTTTCTCTAAGGTTCTATGGAAACGTTTGCACGTATGCGCACAAGCTGCTGAATCATAAAAACAGCTATTTGCCTGGGTTTCCGCACAGGGGGAGGTGTATTCATGAGGACCTCTCAGTCATTTTCGCTCTTCTTTCTGATCAGCTTGGCATCTTTTCGAAATGGGTCACGGTGCCGAGCGCCCGCTTTTAAAAACACAACCCCCCTCCGAGCTAACACAACATGACATCCTTTCCAAAACCGACTTGCTTGGCTCTTACATGATCTTGACATAGCTAGGCTTGTAGGCAGTTATAAATGAAACACTGTTTTCAGGAAAAGGGGGTTGAGCGGAAGTCGAGGTGCAAGAGATTTTCTGCGGTTGGTCAGTGAGAATGGCTTGAGCCATGGGCTGTGACCGTGTGGGGTCCGGTTATGGCAGGTCCGTGTGCTGACGGAGATGTGAGTGACAGCTTCCTATTGATTCAGTCTCCCTAAATTATGAAGCTTGGCTCGCTTGTAACGTCATCATCTCCCCACCAGATCCTTTGAGCTGTCAGAGTGAAGAGAAATAAGTTAATGTGCTTAACAAGTGATTTGGGGTCATTAAATGGTCATGGAATGACTTAAGACTGACATGCACAGCTTTGAAAGCTGCTTTGCTTCATGTTCTGTGAAGATGATTTGGAATTAAGCAAGTAAAGGCATATTTTTACTTTTGTATATGAGGAGGGCTGGGCTTCATATGCCATCTCTCATACGGCTTCATACATCAGAAGCCGTATGAGA